ATCCTTAAGCCCACATGGCTTAAGCGATGACCAATTTGCTGCAAGCTGTTGGTTCAGACAAGCCCAAGGCCATAAACATCATGTAAGAAACTCTATAAAACCCAAACTCCTAGGAAGCCCATCTCAGGAGCTCTTCCAGCTGGAGAGAGCTGCAGAGCCTTCCATCCTGGAGGTTTTGCTGAGAACTTTGTCTTTTGACTGTGTTCAAAGCTTCAGATCTTGATCTCAAAGATCTAGATAAGAACCGAGATGAAATTTTTTAAGGACATGTTCATATCCTAATCTTACTGGAAATAACTCCAACCACTATCTTTATCGAGACTTGGGAGTTGCCTCCATCCCCTAGGGGCTTAACATCTAGGGATGCCGGGGTCCGCATGAGGCCCCGGACGCGCACAATTGTATGACTTGCCCAGGTAGGGAGAGCTTCAGATCCTGATCTCCCCCGGAGTGGTAGGTAGACCAAGGCATTTCCCCAGGGTCCTTCACTTCCCTGATTCCAAAAGCCTGAGGTGTTGGGGCTAGAGAAAACACTAGATTCCTGCATTGTAATCACTTGTCCAGAAGCTTTTACAGCAAACATCAAGTAAACTACCTTGAGCTCCCGCAAGATTCTTGCTCAGCATCTAGCAAAAAAAGAGAGCGAATGACAAATTGTGCGCGTACACATGTTCGGTGTCAGCTGCTCACACAGTGGTCGATTGGTGACGACTTGGGGTGGTTGAAGTTTGAATGACAAATTGCCTTTTCATTTCCCTTTCCAACCAACTTTAATTAATTAATTTATTCATTGTTATTCTTTTTTTTTTGCTTTTTGGTTGTTGCTTAACAAGTCTTCCGCTCAAAGCGAATTGCGTCCGGTTCTCGACTAAATTTCGTTGCACCAAACGAAATGTCAAATGCCGGCTGCGATTGCTGAATTTCCCTCATTACGGCTCACAGTTGGTTTGGTTTGATTCGATTGATGTTGCTCTAGTGATTAGTTAGGTCTCATTTGGTGGGCTCTAATCTGAATAGGGTTAATACCATGAAAAATTCAAAACTGATATACTTGAGATAAATTTACCCACAACTAATTTTTTGACCACCAAAAACTCTAAATTGGTACACCTGTGACAAATTTACCCTCCGTTAGTTTCCGTTAAATTTTATCATCAATTTGCCAAGTTGGATGACACGCGGCAGTTGACGGATGTGCTAATTTAGAGTTTTACTCCTCTGTTGATCACAGATTTATCAATTTGTAATTTTTTGTGGTATTAATCCAATTTAACGGAAGGTAAATTTATCACAAGTATACCAGTTTGGGATTTTTAGTGATCAAAAAATTAATTCGGGGTAAACTTATCATAGGTGTATTAGTTTTAGGTTTTTTGTGGTATTAACCCATATGAATAATACTATCAATTTTAAATTCTGAGTCCACTAAAATAGAAGAGTATATCAATTCCAAGGAAATCTCTCAAATAGCCACGGAGAAGAAGTAAGCTCGTCTTTAGTTTCAAGCTCAGACTATTTCGATCGAAATGTCCATCAAAATGTATGTCCATTTACTTAAGATGAATCGCATTTGTATGTTGTATTCGATTGACATAAATGTAAATTAATACGATAAGAACGAAACATCTCAAATCAAAATGAAAAATGCTCCTTCGTACATGAACTCCCTCTAAACACATGCAGAGATTTCGTTCATATCTTTTTCAATGCACATACAAAGTGCGTCCTTTTTGTCTATTTCTTAATTGTTTTAGCGGTTGGTCGATTGAGGACTCAGGGTTTCGTCTTGGTCCATTGAGGCATGAACGTTTTAAAAGCTTCAATCAAGTCTCGAGCTCGCCATCGGTGGATTCAAGCGTTGAAAGTCCAAATGGCTCCCACTTGAAATATTCGATCGTTTGTCATTTATCATTTCCGATGCCTGAATTCCACCCGTAGAGCTTGAGACTTGATTATGACTTTTTTTTAAAAATCTTATATCCTTAATCCATCAAGATAAAAACCTTTTAAGTCCTCAATTAACCAAGGGTCAAAACCTTTAGCCCTATTTCTGCATTTGTCCCACATAATTGGGATAGGATAAGATGAAAATGGATAAAAGATACATTGTAAATCTGGCATTGCATTCTTTGTTTGGAAAAATATCCGATATGAGATCAAATAGATGCTATCGAGCGCTCAGTAAATCCAAAATAGAATTGGATAAAAATAGAAAAATCAATAGGTCTAGAATATCCATGTATACTTATTACACAATCTAAGGACCATGAATGAAATAAGGGCCTTTTAGTTATCCGCCCGTAATAGGTTTCCTAAGTGTGCGGAATTTCCAAACCGGTCCCAAACCGCTGTAGGATTTCCAACAGGCGACCCCCAACCCATCCCGTCACCCGAAAACCCGAAACCCGAGCCCCGCCGACGTCTCATTCAGATTTTAAAAAAAAAAAAAAAAACGGGTCGGGTACCCGTTTAATGCCCCCGCGCCGCCCTGCTTCCGCCCCTATTGCCGCCCATGTCGGGGACAAGGAAGATCAGATGTCCGACCGGTCTTACGTTGACTCTGTTCCTAGTATCGGACCAACTAAATTCACTCTAACGTTGATTAGCTTTGGAATCACGTGCAGGCGAATACTTGGAGCGAATGCACAGCTGCAGCGCCATCGGATCGGTGCATTAACCAGTTCAACCAAAATCTTCGTCCAACGACCCAACCAGGTCCACCACCAACCTTTCGTATCTGAAAATCAAGTTTAGTACGAACGTACGTTAATGGTTTTGCAAAGGAACAAATCAATTGCTCTCGTGAATGACAGAGACACATGGAGCCGTTTAAATGGAAAAAAAAAAAAAAACACTTCACGGATGAAGACAAGATTTATTATTATTATTTTTTTTATGTTAAATGCCGTGATGTGCATGGGACTTGGAGTTGCTCAAAGCTTTTGGGGATCGCGGATTTGGGTCGGGGAGACCGGTTAGTGATGCCCGCCTGAAAATTCTAATCGCTCGGTTCGGATCCCACGCAGGTAATGCCCTAAAAGAAGTACCTCGAGAAGTGACTTTGTGATGTATATAACACTTTTCTTTTGAATGAGACTTAATTCCTACATTTTTAAGAAGTGCGATTATTCACGCGCTGTGCTTTTATTTAATTGTGGGATTTCCGCTTCATGGGTGTACCGAAGGCAATAATTAGATGTGGTGTTAAGATGATGGCCGGAGAGCTACTATACTAATGATATTGGTGGTCGATGTCATATGATGGTAGCAAAATGGAATGTCGCCTATAAGTATTGATAGACATTGTTAGAATCTGAACTTTTTCTTATTCTCTAATGTTGTCCCCGAAATTTTTCTGTTTTTTCCAATCTAATTGTGAATTTCCGGAAGCCGTTCCAATGCGATTTTTCCATTGAATGCAGTGATGTCACATACTGTTTTCTCTCTTGATGGAAGGATTTTATTGAGCTATATTTAAAAAGTTGAGGGACAATATCCAAAAGTGAGCAAAAATTTCAAGAATTGGCTGTGTCATTGCCCTTGATCAAAACCTACTTGAACTTGTCCTATTTGGGAAAAAAATATGAAAAGAAATATGAAGAGCCATCCTCACTTTCTATACTCAACATCTCATGTATCTCTTATCTTACAATCATTCGATTCTTCTTTTTCCTAAATTAATTTGCAAATTTTTAAGCACTTTTATTTCTGTCTTCCGAGTGAATTAAAACTACGTTTCTCCATGCGCACTCTTCCCTTCTAACAATTTCTTTTTTGGAGGTCGAATCCTTCGTGACATCGAGAAGGAAGAAGAATTCGCGGCAACAATGAAAGTTATATCGAAATTCAATAAATTAGCCAAAAAAAAAGAGAAAAATTTCCAGATAAGAAAGGTTGGATTTTCATTAAAAGAGTTAGAATTTGTATGGTGGAAATTACCAAAAAGGGGGCGTGCATGCATAGGATATCTACGGCATAAGGAGTTCTGTGGAGAGCCAACTACCTCGGATCCGGCCAATACGACCCACCCTTTCGGCGGCTGAGAAACCAAGATTTCGGACAACTTCAGCCGTGTACAACTTAAAATAAACATCCATTTATCTATCGAAACAACCCCTAAAATCGGCGTACGGTTCCGCCGCTGGAAATCCGTATACACCCCTATTTATCCTAAAGATAGCTGGCGAAGATGTTTGCGATGCTCCGCCGCGATACACGGAGCGAGTGGCGGCTCCTAACGCCGTTCGATTGGGGGGTCGAGAATCAATCGGGCCCACGATTAGGGATAATGACACAGATTATCCATAAACTTACGTGGTTTCGAGACTTTTAGTTTGTTCAATGTGGTTCCTGAATTTTTAACCCAAAGTGCAATGTGATCCCTGGTCCCTGGTAATTTAGTCCCTATACCATATGAAAATGTTTAATATTATCATTCCATTAATTTAAGTTCAGAAAAAGGTTTGAGGACTAAATTTTTTTTTTATTCTGTATGGGGACGAAATTGTACTTACATCAAAAGTAATTGCGCATCAAGATGGAGTTTGGGGATCCTATCGAACAAATTTGTAATTCGAAAACTATTTTACACATAGGACGAAAGTTCGGTTCGGGGATCATTTACGTGGTTATACCAAAGTACAGTAAACGTAGAAAATAAAGATAAAAGGAGTGTAGGTGAAGGCCTTTGCCTTACTTACTTACGGTCAAGGAGGGGGTGGGATGTGAGCTTGACTGACCCCTCCTTGGATCTAACGGTCAGCTCGCCACCTCCCTCACCTGTCCCCCCCATCCCTTTTTTTTTTTTTTTTCTTTTCTGGTTAGACGAGAAGTCCAAGGCGGACCTCGTTAAAACGACCCCTCGTTTCCCATCAATCTCTCCATCACCCGCCTCCCTCCTCTCTCTACAAAACGCCAACCCACCGAAGAAGCAGAAGAAGTAGAGAGAGAAACGCCACCTACCACCTGCCACCAACCGCCGCCGCCGCCGGCCACCACTCTCTCTCCTCCCTCTCTCTCTCTCTCTCTAGCTCCAGCAGCAATGGCTTCCGCCTCCTCCCTCGCCCTCTCCCAGGCCGTCTTGCCGCGATCCGCCGCCGCCGTCCCCCATGGCGCCAGCCCGTCTCCCGCCTCCGACCGCCTCTCCATCCCCTCCCCCTCCCTCCCCGCCTTCTCCGGCCTCAAGTCCTCCCCCGCCGGTCGCGCCCCCGCCTCCGCCCAGGCCCACCGCCGCCGCCGCCTCGCCCTCGCCACCGCCGCCCGGCCCGTCAGGGCGGCCGCCGCCGTCGAGACCCTCGGCGGCGCCGCCACCGAGGCCGCCCTCATCGAGAAATCGGTCAACGCCATCCGGTTCCTGGCCATCGACGCCGTCGAGAAGGCGAACTCCGGCCACCCGGGACTGCCCATGGGTTGCGCCCCGATGGGCCACATCCTGTACGACGAGATCATGAGGTACAACCCCAAGAACCCCTACTGGTTCAACCGCGATCGGTTCGTGTTGTCGGCCGGGCACGGTTGCATGCTGCAGTACGCCCTGTTGCATCTCGCCGGGTACGACAGCGTCAAGGTAAATTGTGCTGCTCTGCTCTGGCTTTTTACCTCTCGTGTGATCCTTGAAATGATCGCACGTAATGTCATTTGATTATCTTGTTTGGATCTGGGGGAGTGACGATGATGCGGTCGTTGCATCGAAGTGGAAGTGATCCGTGCTTTATCTGTTCTCTGAAATTAGTATTGTTTAGCTGATCTTATTCGGTCAGACACTGTATATAGTTTTCTGTCCGTCTGTTTTGTGTAGTTTTTTAGACATTCTTACATCTTTGTTTTATATCGCCTTTTGTTCTTGAATATGAGTATGTCGTTGTAGGATTGAGAAGAATGACAATTGTGAACGAATCTTGTTGTCTTTACTGTTTCTGTTGGTGCACCTTTTTGATCTGCAGCACAATTCAAGGGGAAGAAATGCAAAAAAAAAAATAAAAATAAAAAAATGATTCGACTTGCCGGATCTTTGAGCGACTTGACTTAAAAATGTTTCTTATGATATGAATTAGGAGGAGGATTTGAAGAGTTTCCGTCAGTGGGAAAGCAAGACACCTGGGCATCCTGAGAACTTTGAGACACCCGGTGTTGAAGTTACGACAGGTGAGGGAAGCTCCTTTGAAACAATTCCTGTACGGGATCATGTTCTGATGTTACCGTGCCTGGTCTATACCTTAGGGGTTTTACAATTGGCATGGTGTGTGTGTTCAATGTAGGTCCACTTGGACAAGGAATTGCCAATGCTGTTGGTTTAGCTCTTGCGGAGAAGCATTTGGCTGCTCGTTTCAACAAACCAGACAATGAAATTATTGACCACTACACGTAATACCCCAATTCTTCATTGCGTTCATTAGTTTGGTTGGATTTTACAGACTATTGGTTGATTTAATGAATTTTGTCTTTTGGGTGCTTATTCTAGATATGTCGTTCTCGGAGATGGTTGTCAAATGGAAGGCATTGGCAATGAAGCTTGTTCCCTCGCTGGGCACTGGGGACTTGGGAAGCTGATTGCCTTCTATGACGACAACCACATCTCCATCGATGGTAACACGGAGATTGCATTCACCGAGAGTGTCGACAAACGTTTTGAGGGTCTAGGTTGGCACGTTATATGGGTGAAGAATGGTAACACTGGTTATGATGAAATTCGTGCTGCCATCAAGGAAGCAAAGGCTGTTAAAGACAAGCCTACTTTGATTAAGGTTAGTTTTCCCCTGCCATTGCGGATAGCTTTTGGCTTTTACTTCTTGGAAGAATTATCTTTGGTTTTCCCTCTTTTTAAACTTTAATCTGCTAACGGAGAAGTGCTTAACTGTTGAAACACAAATATGACCACCCACATGGGCACACACAGGGGAGGAGGATAAACATATAGCATACTGTAATCAGTGTTTTTACCTTGATTTGAATGCAATGCGATTATTCTGGCATTTGATAATGAAAATATGCCGGTTTCTGCAGGTAACTACAACCATAGGTTATGGTTCACCGAACAAGGCCAACAGCTACAGTGTACATGGTAGTGCACTGGGGGCCAAGGAAGTTGATGCAACTAGGAAGAACCTCGGATGGCCACATGAGCCTTTCCATGTGCCTGAGGAAGTTAAAAAGTGAGTAAATAACAAAGGCTTCTTATCTCTATTATGTGAGGGAGACCAACATGGTATCTGTACTCCTTGTTAACGTGTATGGTTTTTTGCAGGCACTGGAGTCGCCATGTTCCTGCTGGTGCTGCTTTTGAAGCTGAATGGAATGCAAAATTCGCTGCATACGAGAAGAAATACAAGGATGAAGCTGCAGAGCTGAAATCTATCACTAAGGGCGAGCTACCTGCTGGTTGGGAGAAAGCCCTGCCGGTGAGTATTTGAGCATACTGTAGATCAACAGAATTGTTTTCTAGTTGAAGTTATTACACATTCTCTTCTTTGAGCTGTACAGACACCTATAATTTTGAAACCTTATTGCCGCCTTAAATGTTATTATAACTCTGTTTTTGTATTTTCTGAGTACAAATTTATTTTGAAACCTTATTGCCGCCTTAAATGTTATTATAACTCTATTTTTGTATTTTCTGAGTACAAATTCAGTTTAGATCTAATCAATGAGCTTCAAAGTGTATAATCATCTAACTGATAATATTCAATTTGTATTAAAAGCAAAAGTAATGTCGTGAACACCCAAGAAAAGTTTATGTTTGCCGAACAAAATGTGAATAGTTGTGGGGCTTGTAAGTGTTCAGGTTTCTGATCCATGAAGTTGGTTGGTCAGAGGATTGGTCGACGTCTATTCACTACAACAGATTTGTTAGTCTAGTATTTTTCATTGTATGTCAACTGTAATAATCGAGAGTCCTGTTTTTTGCAATTCTCCAGACATACACTCCAGAGATTCCAGCGGACGCTACCAGAAACCTCTCTCAACAATGCCTCAATGCCCTCGCGAAGGTGGTCCCTGGTCTTCTTGGTGGAAGTGCAGATCTTGCTTCCTCCAACATGACTCTGCTCAAAATGTTCGGCAATTTCCAAAAGGATACCCCCGAGGAACGTAATGTTAGATTTGGTGTTAGGGAGCACGGAATGGGGGCCATCTGCAATGGGATTGCTCTCCATAGCCCGGGGCTCATCCCGTACTGTGCCACCTTCTTTGTCTTCACCGACTACATGAGGGCCGCGATGAGAATCTCTGCGCTCGCTGAAGCTAGAGTCATCTATGTCATGACCCACGATTCTATTGGTCTTGGAGAGGATGGGCCCACGCATCAGCCAATTGAGCACTTGGCTAGCTTCCGTGCTATGCCAAACATTCTTATGCTCCGCCCAGCTGATGGGAATGAAACTGCCGGTGCATACAAGGTCGCTGTTCTCAACAGGAAGAGACCTTCTGTCCTCGCTCTCTCCAGGCAAAAGCTTCCCAATCTTCCTGGTACCTCCATTGAAGGAGTCGCGAAGGGAGGCTATGTAATCTCTGACAATTCCTCAGGCAACAAGCCAGATGTTATTCTGATTGGAACTGGTTCTGAGTTGGAAATCGCTGCGAAAGCGGCGGATGAGCTCCGGAAGGAAGGCAAGGCTGTGAGAGTTGTGTCCTTTGTTTCTTGGGAACTTTTCGACGAGCAATCTCCCGAGTACAAGGAGAGTGTGTTGCCTTCTGCTGTATCAGCTAGAGTCAGCATCGAAGCTGGAACAACTTTTGGGTGGGAAAAGATCGTTGGAAGCAAAGGTAAGGCTATCGGAATTGACAGATTCGGTGCCAGTGCTCCTGCAGGTAAAATATACAAGGAATTCGGCCTTACTGTGGAGGCGGTCATTGCTGCAGCCAAGCAAGTGTCTTAGGCTAAGTGGTACTCTGTTTATCTTGTCATTTTTTCTTGGGATTTGAGTTTTGGAGCAGAGCTTAAATGGAGACGTCACTTAAGAGATCTTCACGAGGTCTCTTGTGCTTTAATAAAGGGGAACTATGAAGTTTTCGACCGCTTGAATTTCCTCAATGCAGCAAAACGTAGATTCAGAATGGAGCAGATTGAGTAACATTGCATTTGTATAAACACTTGGAGCTTCTACTTCTTGAGATTTGTATTGACTTGTGGCTGAATCACATGAAGCACATTTATACTCCACGTCCATCCTTTTGCACTTTGCATGGGTTAAATTCAGCAAAACCTTATTTCCTGTTTGGATTTGAATCTTGAATATATTCAAATCCTTATTTATCCTGGCTATGTGTTCTTTTCTAAATCAAAGGTTCTGAATCCTACATCACGAGGATTTTAATGGGTATGGCTTATCTTACTCCATGAGGTTTGAGGCACGATGAACAAAATGGACGAGCAAGCCGGTTGAGATTTGCCATCAAAACAGAGACAAGTAACTTTTTTTATTTTTTGAACAGACAGAGACCAAGTACCTGGAGCAGAGGTTTTTTCTGGGAAAAGTTTAGCTATTGCGTAGAATAAGCTATCGAATAATATAATCGATAGAACAAGAAAATAAATTAAATAATATATTTACGAGATTCGGTTGATGTGATCTATGTTCATGGGAAGAGCAACAAAGAGCAAAGTTCGCTCATGAACCATATCATTAGTTATATATCGGATGATCGACTTCTTTGCTCTAATAAAAGTATTTGCCTTTACACGAGTTGATTTTATGAATGCATTTCTTATTAATCACTTGTTATGCATATTAAATGAGATTGAGCTATTTTTTTCTACAATAGTAATTATTAATAATTTATCAATGTATAACATATTGAAAGTATGGGTAAAGAAAACACAAAAAATCATTAATACCATAAAAAACTTTTTATCATAGAAAATGCTTAGAGAGAAGTTTTGGTAGATAATGATGATTTTATTGCTCAAATGTTGATAGGGCAACCTATTTATACAGGAGTTCCTCTAGTTACAAATGTTGATCATACCTAGATCCATTCTCTCCTACCAATTTGACGGTGTAGAGTCACTCCCTTATAATAATCTAACTGCTAGAGAGATTCAATTCTCGTCTAACCAATTCGACGATGGAAATACATTTTGGTGGACATCAATTCTCTTCTTACTATCCAATGGTGGAAGTTGAGTTCTAGCTATTGGTCTAATGGTTCTTGTCTCTTCGGATTGATGACTTTGACTATTCGTCCGCGACAATCACCCCCTACAGTTTCCCTATCTTTTCTCGTTTTCTTTCTCTTAGGGTTTGTTTTTGAAGTTTTATAATCTTTTGTCCGGTCTGCAAAAGAAAATTACGCATATCCATCAACCTATTTAGTTATTGCTGAGGTGGCACTGATGTGCTAATCCATATAAGCATTTACATTTCTCTTTTAATGTAAATATCAACTTAAACAAAAAAAAATATGTATCTCAAGGATTCAATTATACAAAAAACAAGATTTAAGATAAAATTGAACAATTTCAAAACGTTAGTGGACTTATGGTACCTTTATCCCCAAAACATACTATCTCCATACTTTCTTCTTCTCTTTGGTATGCTTTGTAATGCATGGATCAAACTACACGTCCAATATTGTACGTGATTAATTTACAGACACGAATGTGATACAAGACACATCACGACCTAGACAGATAAAATTTGAACATGAGATGAATTGATGCACATAGTTCATATATGGACATAAATCGATACTCTTATCGTCACGAGTCTATGTGTTTGAGGCTATAAAATCAAGGAATGCTTACAAAATAATCTATACTTTTTTCATCGATATCAACTTACACCCCCACTATTCAAAATCTATAACTCGCATTCCGAACTATATTACTAGATTTACCATCCCTCGTTGTATCTATCTAGTTACCAAATTATTATTTTCTTTTTGAAGATACCCATATTACCATTCTTCTCAACAATTGTCAGTCATATCTATCCGCAAAGAAAAGTTCCAAAAGGGGTTCCTAACATGAAGAGGACAGTCCCCCTTCATGCTCCTCTTTTCTTGCTAAACTATCCTTCACTTCATGTAATATCGAGTCCATAAATTGGATTATCAATTTAATATTCTAAAAAAATAAATAATCATACGAATGTTAAAAAATTAAATAGTCATATTTCCAGAACTATCTAATTTCATCACTACTGCTGCTACTTTTTTAATTTCCCTCAACTATAACTTTTTCACAATTCAAGTCGAGACACACAGAATACTAATATTGCCGAAATTATTACGTTAATGTGTTGCTTTTGAAACGCTTGTTATATGCATTCCATAAAAATGTTTCAGTTTTCAAAATTCCAATCACATACAATAAAAATGTATCGAAGACTTTAAATCATTTTGTTGCTTGATAAATATCGTGCAAAACATTATCTTTTTTAAAAGAGAACTGAGGACGATACACGTGTTATGTGCGCATGTGAAGACTCGACAACTGTTTAACCAAAAAAAGAGAAATTGGGTACCGAGTAAAGTTGATAAAATGATGTGTTTATATATGTAATTTGAGGTAGGCGAAATATTTTAAGCCAAAAAAATGGGATTGATTTTGAGAAATTAAAAGTGAGACCAACCTCACTTTTATTACACTTAAACAAATGAAAAGACAAAAAACAAAAAGCCCCGACCCGACCCGAAAAGAGGTCCGAAACGGAACATGAACCGCTTCGAAGCTCGCTGGTACGAGGGTGTGGGGTTTTGCAAGGGTTTTACAGAGGCGAAATCCCCATTCAACCCCAACTTCCCACCACCGCCACCGCCATCTCCGCCATGGCGCGACTCTCGAAATCCTCGGCGCCTCGCCTCGCCTCCGCCGGCCTCGCACCACCTCCAATCGCCGCTCCTCCTCGGCGGCCCCAGCCTCCGGCACTTCTCGTCGGGGAACCTCGCGCGGGCGACGTCGGCGGCGAAGGACGACGACGAGGAGCCGTGGTGGAAGGAGTCCGTGGACAAGCTCCGCAACATCGGGATCTCCGTCCACATCGACTCCGGCAAGACGACGCTCACCGAGAGGATACTCTACTACACTGGCAGGATCCATGAGATCCACGACGTCCAGGGGAAGGATGGGGTCGGCGCGAAGATGGACTCCATGGATTTGAAAAGGGAGAAGGGGATCACCATCCAGTCCGCCGCCACTTACTGCACCTGGAAGGGGTATCAGGTGAGAAAGCAAGCCCTTTCCTTTCTGTTTTCGGGTCGTCGTTAGGTTTGTGAGCTTGATTATGGATATTTGGTGATCGAATGTTGTGAAAAGTTGTTGTGGGGTTTGATTCCTGCTAATGAGAGCTTGAAATGTTAAATAATTGGTCTCTGTAATTGACGAAGCTGTCCATGCGCAGTAAATATAGTGGCTTTAATTTCCTGCTCTGTGTAGAAGCTGTAGTCTTGAGCTTTGTCTCGTTTTCGTGGGAAGTATCTTTTTCTGTTTTTAGAGAGCTAGTACCTGTCGAATTCGTTGCTCATTAGCTGTTGGGAAACCACAAAGGAAGAATGACATATGCATTGGGTCGATGAGTTAGTGTGTGTACACGAAACTAGGGAAGGAGTAGATCGAAAGCTAGAATCCCGGAGGGAAACTTTGGAATCTGTAGGCTCCTTTTTGGTTGAAAAACCGTAGTATACTTAGTGCCAGTCCTGAAGAGATCAAATGAAACAATGGTCAATATGGGATACCTGGAGGTACCAAAGAGTAAGCTATCTCGACATCTTGGATGTGTATTTGGTGGATGGGGAACTTGAAGGGTTATGGTCACATGAAAGAAGTGGGGATGAATGAAGTGGAGAAGATCTGGTACCTTATTCGGAGTCCAATCTTAAAAGCATTTTATATGGGATGAAAACATGGTTGATGTTGCTGTATTGCCGTAGAGATTATGCAATCAAGTCTGACCATCTGCACAAAAAGAATGTAGCGGAGATGAGAATTTTCTATATCTTAAGAAAAGACAGGATTAGCAATAACAAAATGTTGGGTGGTTTCATTTGTGGAAGTGAGAGAAACTCGTTTAAAGTGGTTCACATGTGAAAGATTCACTGATAAGTAGAAGAAGCTTTTTGATGGAGTGGACGAAAAGAGGGCCAATGGCAGGAGGAGGAATATCTGAAATTGTTTGCCGAACAATGCTTTGGAGAAGAATATGGAGTATCTGGAAATTTTGGAGGGTTTGGTACTAAAAGTGGCATGAAATGATTTATGTAATTAGTCTCTCTTAGTTGAAACATTTTATGTTATAGTTGGTTGTTGTTGACATTAATTGGTATGAATTGAGTTTCCAGCTTGATCAATTTTATGACCGAGCATAAGTAAAAAAAGCAAACCATTCTAATACAGATTACAGCATGAAGTTCTATCAGCATCAAAGTGACATCAAGACCCAAATAGAAGAATAAGTCCAACACAAAATTAAGTTTCTTAATTTTGGAGCTCATTTAGGAATGAAACTTGGGATTAGGCTGTGTTTAGATTGATTGGACTTGGTTCTGTGCCAGAAAAGTGCATAATAGTGAAAAAAAAGAAACCGTTTTTCAAAAGCAACACAGGTTATAAATAAGCAAATAGAATAGTGACATGTAATATATATGAGTAAACGAGAAGTCAGTAAGCAGCATCGTTTCCATCTTTCTCTTGTTTAATGAACCTTCTCCTTCTTAGTTTGAGTTTGTGAGAAAAGTTTGAAGTTTGGATCTTTTTTCAAACAGAAAAGAAGTGTGAGCTTTCATTCAGTTTAGTATGATCTTAAGACAATGGAAATAAGACTAAGTAAGTTGAGGGACACCTCATATAAATATTTGATGGATGGTTCTTGCATTCAGAATCTTGTGCACCCCTATCAAAGGCATGGGTCCCACCTTCTTTTAAAGGAAAAATTTTACGTACGAAACTTACTTTTAGAAATCTTGTTTGCATCCTGTCCAAATTTTGCACTAGAATATGTGGTGCTGGTAGAGTTTTAGTTAAACGATAGTGAACTGTATGTCTCTGAATATTTGTCACAACAAAGACTTCATTTTAGCATGCATAGTCCTTAGTACATCGGGTTTTGCTAGAAAAAGATCGTTAGAAGAGTCAACTTACCTCCACTAATAGTATATTTACGAGGTTCGGTCAGTGTGACCTATATTCATGGGAAAAGCTACAAAGAATTTCACTGTAGATCA